AAGACTGATGTATTCGTACAAGTATTTAGCATTTGCTAACTAACAAATGATAAATTATGCTTATAGCAGCACATCAGTAAAGCCAGTTTTCCACCAGTGAACTATATGTTATATAGTTCAGTGTTTTCCACTAGTGAACTTTTCGTGCGAAGCGATCTTTTTCCTTTGTCGGCATCCATTTTGCCACGTTTTACTGACGTAATAAGTGCTACCGACAAAGGAAAAAGGTCGCTTCGCGCGAAAAAATTCGCTAGTGGAAAACCGGCTTAAAGTCAGTTGTTAAACTCTGCATGCCTTTCCAGTTTTCCAGCGTTTCCATCCAATCAACCAGACTAGTTAACGCTACCCAGGCAAAACTGTGAAACCGACTTAATGATGAAATTATTGATATATAGCAAAAATTCACATTATTTTGAGAAACGTTTTGAAAACTTTAAATCCTGATATCCTGGAGGAAGGTTGAAAAATTTCTGAAACAAGTACTTTCCAGGAGGATGTATTTGCGCCGATCAAACTTCTCCATATTTGCAGCCAGCCAGGCATCCGCTCCGTGCTGTTTTGACTGATTAAGTTTTCACATTTTTTTATATGCTGAGTCAGCGACCACGACAATTAAGAACTGGGTCGGCAAATGGACTTTCGGTAAAAGCGCTTAGGTTATCCGGAGGTTGGGGAGAAAAACTACGTATTGGTGAAAGAAACGCTTCCATCCTATGTCCTGTACAGTTGTTGCAATGACTTAGAAACATTGTCCAGAAACTGGAGACGAACCACTTAATTTCTTTACTTCTCTCCACCATGTAGATGGTTTACTGTTCTTTATAAAGTGATATACTTTATTCTGATAATATTTAGCGGGACCTACTTTCACTTCACGGTTTACTCGATTTCGTAATCTTCTAAACTCTCACGATGTAGACGTTCACTTCACGGTTTACTCGATTTCCTAATCTTCTAAACTCACGAGATGGACGTTTACTTCATGGTTTACTCGATTTCGTAATCTTCTAAACTCACGAGATGGACGTTTACTTCACGGTTTACTCGATTTCGTAATCTTCTAAACTCACGAGATGGACGTTTACTTCACGGTTTACTCGATTTCGTAATCTTCTAAACTCACGAGATTGACGTTCATTTCATGGTTTACTCGATTTCGTAATCTTCTAAACTCACGAGATGGACGTTCATTTCACGGTTTACTCGATTTCGTAATCTTCTAAACTCACGAGATGGACGTTTACTTCATGGTTTACTCGATTTCGTAATCTTCTAAACTCACGAGATGGACGTTTACTTCATGGTTTACCCGATTTCGTAATCTTCTAAACTCACGAGATGGACGTTTACTTCACGGTTTACTCGATTTCGTAATCTTCTAAACTCACGAGATGGACGTTCATTTCACGGTTTACTCGATTTCGTAATCTTCTAAACTCACGAGATGGACGTTTACTTCATGGTTTACTCGATTTCGTAATCTTCTAAACTCACGAGATGGACGTTTATTTCATGGTTTACTCGATTTCGTAATCTTCTAAACTCACGAGACGGACGTTCATTTCACGGTTTACTCGATTTCGTAATCTTCTAAACTCACGAGATGGACGTTTACTTCATGGTTTACCCGATTTCGTAATCTTCTAAACTCACGAGATGGACGTTTACTTCATGGTTTACTCGATTTCGTAATCTTCTAAACTCACGAGATGGACGTTTACTTCATGGTTTACCCGATTTCGTAATCTTCTAAACTCACGAGATGGACGTTTACTTCATGGTTTACTCGATTTCGTAATCTTCTAAACTCACGAGATGGACGTTTACTTCACGGTTTACTCGATTTCGTAATCTTCTAAACTCACGAGATGGACGTTCATTTCATGGTTTACTCGATTTCGTAATCTTCTAAACTCACGAGATGGACGTTCATTTCACGGTTTACTCGATTTCGTAATCTTCTAAACTCACGAGATGGACGTTTACTTCATGGTTTACTCGATTTCGTAATCTTCTAAACTCACGAGATGGACGTTTACTTCATGGTTTTCTCGATTTCGTAATCTTCTAAACTCACGAGATGGACGTTTACTTCATGGTTTACCCGATTTCGTAATCTTCTAAACTCACGAGATGGACGTTTACTTCATGATTTACTCGATTTCGTAATCTTCTAAACTCACGAGATGGACGTTTACTTCATGGTTTACTCGATTTCGTAATCTTCTAAACTCACGAGATGGACGTTTACTTCATGGTTTACCCGATTTCGTAATCTTCTAAACTCACGAGATGGACGTTTACTTCACGGTTTACTCGATTTCGTAATCTTCTAAACTCACGAGATGGACGTTCATTTCACGGTTTACTCGATTTCGTAATCTTCTAAACTCACGAGATGGACGTTTACTTCACGGTTTACTCGATTTCGTAATCTTCTAAACTCACGAGATGGACGTTCATTTCATGGTTTACTCGATTTCGTAATCTTCTAAACTCACGAGACGGACGTTCATTTCACGGTTTACTCGATTTCGTAATCTTCTAAACTCACGAGATGGACGTTTACTTCATGGTTTACCCGATTTCGTAATCTTCTAAACTCACGAGATGGACGTTTACTTCATGGTTTACTCGATTTCGTAATCTTCTAAACTCACGAGATGGACGTTTACTTCATGGTTTACCCGATTTCGTAATCTTCTAAACTCACGAGATGGACGTTCATTTCATGGTTTACCCGATTTCATAATCTTCTAAACTCACGAGATGGACGTTTACTTCATGGTTTACTCGATTTCGTAATCTTCTAAACTCACGAGATGGACGTTTACTTCATGGTTTACTCGATTTCGTAATCTTCTAAACTCACGAGATGGACGTTTACTTCATGGTTTTCTCGATTTCGTAATCTTCTAAACTCACGAGATGGACGTTTACTTCATGGTTTACCCGATTTCGTAATCTTCTAAACTCACGAGATGGACGTTTACTTCATGATTTACTCGATTTCGTAATCTTCTAAACTCACGAGATGGACGTTTACTTCATGGTTTACTCGATTTCGTAATCTTCTAAACTCACGAGATGGACGTTTACTTCATGGTTTACCCGATTTCGTAATCTTCTAAACTCACGAGATGGACGTTCATTTCATGGTTTACCCGATTTCATAATCTTCTAAACTCACGAGATGGACGTTTACTTCATGGTTTACTCGATTTCGTAATCTTCTAAACTCACGAGATGGACGTTTACTTCATGGTTTACTCGATTTCGTAATCTTCTAAACTCACGAGATGGACGTTTACTTCATGGTTTACCCGATTTCGTAATCTTCTAAACTCACGAGATGGACGTTTACTTCATGGTTTACTCGATTTCGTAATCTTCTAAACTCACGAGATGGACGTTTACTTCATGGTTTACCCGATTTCGTAATCTTCTAAACTCACGAGATGGACGTTCATTTCACGGTTTACTCGATTTCGTAATCTTCTAAACTCACGAGATGGACGTTCATTTCATGGTTTACTCGATTTCGTAATCTTCTAAACTCACGAGATGGACGTTCATTTCACGGTTTACTCGATTTCGTAATCTTCTAAACTCACGAGATGGACGTTCATTTCACAGTTTACTCGATTTCGTAATCTTCTAAACTCACGAGATGGACGTTCATTTCATGGTTTACTCGATTTCGTAATCTTCTAAACTCACGAGATGGACGTTCATTTCACGGTTTACTCGATTTCGTAATCTTCTAAACTCACGAGATGGACGTTCATTTCACGGTTTACTCGATTTCGTAATCTTCTAAACTCACGAGATGGACGCGTTCACTTCACGGTTTACTCGATTTCGTAATCTTCTAAACTCACGAGATGGACGCGTTCACTTCACGGTTTACTCGATTTCGTAATCTTCTAAACTCACGAGATGGACGCGTTCATTTCACGGTTTACTCGATTTCGTAATCTTCTAAACTCACGAGATGGACGCGTTCACTTCACGGTTTACTCGATTTCGTAATCTTCTAAACTCACGAGATGTACGTTCGTTTCACGGTTTACTCGATTTCGTAATTTCTAAACTCACGAGATGGACGTTTACGGCAAACCGCTAACCTCAAACGGCAAATTTTAAATCGCATTTGAAGGTAAGTTCTACAGGTTTCGAAAGTTTCGACAAGTTTTTAGTTAATTCATGCTTCAGTTTTTGTGCACAAATTGTCCTAACTTCGAACAGCTAACAGTTGACCTCAAAATATGACTTGAAATTTGCCGTTTGTGGTTAGGGAATGTTCATTTAATATGACAAGGGGGGGGGGGAGTGAAGATTTCGTATTGCTTACAAGATTTTTTTAGGAGCCCATCGCAACATTGCGCTGAAATTTGTGAACCCCCCCTGTAAGTATCCCTAAAAATTAAGAGCCCCCCCTTCTTCCTTTGCTCAATTTTAATAATACCCATATATAACTACATCCAAAATCTTAAAGATACCTGGGCGTTATCCTGATTTTAACTAGTTAATAAACATAATAGTCTTCGTATCTTGCATGTGGAAGACTAGCTGCTCTTCTGCTGCGTATCGTTGGCAAATTTGCAATTTCTTTATCAGAATCCTCAGACATTCCCTCAGTTGAATTGTCGTCTTCATCGCCTTCTGGAATTATCTGAAGTACTTCATCATCGTCAGAATCGGATTCACCATCTCCTGACAAAGTATCATCATCTGAAGTTTCTGCATCAATGGCTGCGTCGTTGGTCCTATTTATGTAGAAATCTGCTTTAATTCGTTTGATTTTATCCTCTTTTTTTCCGATAGTGAACAGGTCGTGTCTCTTAAGGTACTTGTCAAGTTCCATCACTTTTAATGAATTTAGTTTTCCTGAATCAATGAGGGTATTCCAATCGTAGTCCTCATAGGTTTTGCTGCACTCTTTTTCTCGGGTTTTTTCTTCTTTCGTTTTCCCTGATAGCAGACATCATTTTCAACTCTTAAAGGAGTTTAACATATGATGCGACATCCTTCTCTTCAACACAATAGCGACTGGATACTTCTTTAAGTTGTTCGATATTGTCCGATGAGATCGTGCCAGCTTTATATAGACGCTTTATCACTGCCCTGGGAGCGACATCATCCACTTCCCTTAACTGCCCGTTATTGTCTGTGGTTGGTGTGTTGAAAACACTCATATAATGCCCTGGCTTATCAGGATCTGGATACGGGGCAGGAACTCTGGAGAACCTGGGTCCAACCCAGTCCTTTTCACTACATTTCTTGCATACCTCGCCATTTTCCCGACATCTGTCCCTTATATATTCCATATATAGTTCACCAATTCTGTAGTGTCTTTCAATAAAGTTTAAAACATTCGTTATGTAGTGGTAACCAGGAACCTGTTGTTTTGACTCAGCGGCAGTACAACTTTGAAATTGTTTTAAGTATTTTTTGTTGAAAAAGAAAGGGCTTTGTTTTGGAGTTAAATAACATTTAATAAACTCGTTAAACACTGGTGCCCCATCAACCCTATTGCGAATTTCATTAGCACAGTACCACGCATTCTTCTCCATTCTATCCGTCTCGTGTTCTTCGAACTCTTTCACAGTCAGTTTACTTATATCTTCATCACTTAGTCCATCAAAGCGTTTATGTTTGTTCCACTGGAGTGTTGCGCCATCTACGATACTGTCGCCGATTGCGCTGTTAGTTCTCTCGGCCTCGTTATCAGACGAATTACCCCTGGAAGAATGCAGTCTGATCCGATAGTCACTGTTATGGATAATCGCTAACTCAGCATCCCTGAACTGTACTTCGAAATTGTTACAAGCAACTCCAGGTCCAGCGTCGGTAAAATCCGCCCATCTTGGTTTCACAGGCGGAAACTTCAGCTCTGCAATCCCCTCGAGAAGAGAATGGCATTTTTTCAAAAGAGCATCGTATTTCGGCTGAAGGGAAATTGTCACGCAGAGCTTTAGCAGTATCAATTATATCAGTCAACTTTATAGGAATCATTGCTGTTGCAAGTAGCTTTAACTCAGCTTCGTTTAGATTGAAGCGACCACACAAAGACAAGGATGATTCCAAGCGAATCATTAAATGCGAGAGTCTCTCTTTCTCGTACTGACAATACGGGTTTTCGGGAAATTTGCAAGAGGTTACATTTGCTAATATAAGTCATCTGCATTTGTCATTTCCTGCATTTTCTGTCATCTGCATTTGTCATTTCCCACATACATGGGAAAGAAACAAGCTTACAAGCTTATATTGAAAATACATGGAAAAGAATTTGCTGATGCCTTTCTTATAAAAGGAAACACTCAAAAAGTTAGCACACAAAAACTGGGGAGTATACAGCTCCTACCCAGATTCCACATAAAAGCCATCGAATACTTGATTGCTCAAGGCACAGTTGATGACATGGAAGAAGCAAAAAGACTTTTAGATATACTTCTTGCAAGAAGAGCAGCAGCCAAAAAGGCCACCACAGTAAATAGTCAGGAGGAAAGGACCAGCCTGGAGTCTGAAAGTGAACTCTCAGATGGCTCTGAAGTGGATGACGAGATTACAGAGCCTGGAGATGATGAGTCTGACAGCTTTGAAATGGATGAAGATAGTGACTATTAAATATAACCTGTCACTCCTTAATCAGTTTTATTTAATATTGTCTTTAAATAGACCTAAACATTCAAAATACAGTATCACATATTAACTGGAAATAGGTAGTTAAAGTAGTTGGAAAAACAAGAGCCCCCCCTACGTAACCTCAAAAATTTTAAAGCTCCCCCTTGCTGCACTAAATTTTTTCTAATCCCCCCCCCTCAGAATCTTCACTCCCCCCCCTTGTCATATTAAATGAACATTCCC